GGCAGATAAATTTACGAGATCTCTCAATGAGTAGTTGAGGCGGCAAAATATCGGGTATCACCTTTACTGTCATGAAAGTCTGTTTCAACACGATTTATACTAATGACGTGGGCGGTTCGATAATTATTTGAACTGCGCGAGCTATTTCTGTATTATTTACAAACTCATAATTTATAAAGAGACATTTACATTAATAATGGCGGCATAGAGAGTTTCCCAGTTTCTCATTATTACCTTAATTCTAAAATAGACATTTCTAATAAAAGAATGATTATTGAATGATATTTATACGTTGTTTATTAACGCTGACATTGACGTGGAGATATTTGTTCGATATGTCAAAGTTATTACATATTTTTATATGCTAAAGAACATAGCAGTAATAGATTTATTTTGCAATAAATAATGAATTGTGTTTAAACGATTGTTAATTCGAGTAAGTTATATTAAAACGATAAATGCTTCAGGAAATTAATGACAGATTGAACTTACCATTAATTAAACTTTATTATTAGCACGACTTAAGACGCTCTTCACGTATTTCTAAAACGTGGTCCCTTTATTCTTATGACCCTAATAACTGACTCCCAATCAATTTTCCAGCACCCGCAGATTCCCAGCACCCAGTGAATCACTCCAAACCATTTAATCTTGATGGTCGATAGCCATGCGTTTCATCCGACGGTCGATGCGATTGGCTCTCTTGAAAGCGACGCAATTCATGAAGTTACGACCCATGCATCTTCGTCTACTTATAGATTGAACGCTGCTCCTACATTTTTTAAGTTGAGTATTTCGTCGATAATTTCAGCGCGGACTTAATAAAAATCAGTGCATCATGAAGTCGATCGAGTGTTTTTTTTATAGCTCATATGCGCTCTTTGCTTCTTTTATCGGTCGCATTTCATCGCGATATATTCATTGGCGTGATGAAAATTTTTACCGCTACTGCTACTTTATTGGATTCGTATATCACGTATGTACGCGTCAGAGTGATACGATTGGCAGTGGATCAATACGAACGAAGACGAACGATGTTTTCATCGTATTTCTGGAAAATTGGGTACTAAGGAGAGAGAGGTAAAGCCATTTTCGTTTTATACAATGGGAACGAGGTCGCTGCAACTCCCTTAGGAATGCCACGTACGCCATAGCGATAAAAGCATTCCGCCAAGTGCGACGATAGATACGGAAATGAGTATAACACAGCCCATTTCTTTGCTAGCGGCGATAATGAAATAATAGATAGTCGTCATTTCGGATAACTTGACTTCCCGTACGAAGTTTATATTCGCGGAATTTTTATTCGGCGTCGTTATTTCTCCATTCGTCAATAAGATTGATTACGCCCTACGATTGGTCAATATGCTAATATTCGCACTCTCGTAGAAATAAAATTGTGCCGAGATTAAAGATTTCAGATTAAAGTCCTCTTTCGTTCCCTTTTTCTTATTGCGGTGAGCACCGTACGGTATTGTAGTG